AAATTAATAAAAGCACTACCATCCACTGTGAATTCTAGTAGCCATTCATGTGGGAAAGAGCTGACATTCAAAATGGCCATGTGAGTCAGCTACACTTCTGAACCATATTCTTTAACCTTAGGTCTTAGCCACTAGGAACCTTCTGCTTCCACCTTGGTCCTCCAGAGACTAGCCAAAACCTGTACAAAGGACATAGCTCTACTCTGTGAGCCCAAGTCCACTTAAAAATTCTCCAAATAGAGTAACAGCAGGAAGCCAACAATGTCAGGGCTTTTTTCAACTCTCTCATTTTACAGATGAAAAAGCTGAGGCCAGACACCAAAGCAACTTGTCTAAGACACAAAAGACAGCAGCCCTGATGTGAGCAAAAAAATCCTCTGAGGATTGGCTACTGATAGGAGAAAAGAGGACTTTTGGACCACAGTTAGGTTTAGTTTGTTTGTGTAAGCTTCAATTAAGAATTTAAAAATTGTTAAGTTTTGCATATACTCCCAGAACTCTGGCTTCTCTTGAAAATCTTGGGTATCTGTCCATCGTGGATACTACCTGTCCTTATCTGTGGAGCTGGGGACTAACTGCCCTGGACAACTGGACATGAGGTCTCCAGGGGCCACACCCCTGCTCACAGCAAGCACTTCTTCCTGTGCTGCCAGGGGCCCTGGAGACAACGGAATTTGTTATCCTTTCTCTCTCTTATATGCACCAAAAGTCGAAAATACAGACATAAGATATTTTTCTCACATACAGCCATCATTGACTGGTATTTATGGGAGTTTGTTTCCAGGCCCCCTGAAGAAGCCAAAATTCAAGAATACTCAAGCCCCTTATATAAAACAGTATGTATAACATTTGCATATAAGCTAAACACATATACACTTTCTGTATATTTTTAATCATCTCTAGATGACTCATAGTACCTCAAACAATGTGAGTGGTGTGTAAACAGTTGTTGCATTATTATTTAAAGGATAATGACAAGAAAAATAAGTCTACATACATTCAGTGTAGATGCAACTAATGTAGGCCTGATAACATTTTCCACCTGCAGTTGGTTGAATCCATGCATATACTGAACCCTGAAATATAGTGGGGCAACTGTAATATTTATATATGCAGTGGAGAAAAGTATATGTATGTAAAATGTAACACAAACAATACATGTAGGTACGTATGCCCTGGAGAGTAGTAGCTTTTACTATCTGAAGACACATATAGAAATATTTCAATGATATCCCTGAAGAGTATACCATGCCAAACCTAAGAGAAAGTGTGAGTCATAAGCTTGAGAATCTCCACGGATAAAATAAGCAGAAAGCAGGCATCATCAGAGCCAACTTGGCTGGAGTGTCTACCAGTCCCATGGCCCAGGACAGCAGAGAGTCCTGAAGGGCAGCAGATACGCCCTTGGTCTAATCAGCACTTAGCCTAGGTCCTGGTTTTCAGGTATCACACACCATTCTTGTGCATTTTCACAGCAGCCAGAATGACACCACACCATTCTTCTGTAGAACGACCACCTCCCTTCTCCAATCCCCGGACCTCAGTTTTTCCCCATTTTTTTGTTCACTCCAAGCAACTCTCTTGTGCCACACTCTCAGATGCATCTATTTTACCCTTGCATACCCCCCTGCCATTCTCCTAGATTGTCCAATAACTCATCCATTACGTCAGTCCCTGGCCACACTACCCAAGTTAGCTTTCCTTGCCACTAGCCTATCACCCTAAGAAAGTTTCTTCTTTATCCTTTCTGAATTTACCTTGTTTAATTTCTTTGCATGCTTGGCTACCAAATGCCTCCACACTAGACTGTGAGTTCCATGAGAAAGAATCTTCTGCTGTCTTTGTTCACTTCCCTGTCCTCAAGGTCCGGAAAGTGCCTTACCAGCTTCAGAATAAATACACTGTGCACTGGGTTTGCGAAATACTACAAACCACCTGAGCTGGAAGAGAGTGCATGAGCGAGATGCCAGCTCCAGGTTAGAACTGGGGAGAGGGAAAGGCTGTGCCTCTTTTGTCTCAGTCTTTCAGGGACTTCAGTTGACAGTGCAGAGAGAATTAACTCAATGGTAAAATCTTTATACTACACCCACTTAGGTTTTAAAATGCCCCACTGAGTGATACTGCTCTGATTTCTAATCCACTCGATTGGTTTCTGTTCGATTTCAGAAAGAAGGTTGAGTTCACGGATGAGCATTCAAAAAGTGCTTCAGTAACTTCAAATGAGGCATGGTGAGGAGGGGAGAGATAGCACATGCACTCTTATGATTTGCATAAAAGTGCTCTAAAACTCGAGATTTTAGACACATGTGCACATACAGTATTTCAAATTGCAGTTGATGTTGTGAAGAGCAATTGTATGGCACTTTGGAATTTGTGAGAGCTACCCAATGGCTCATGAGCTCCGTGGACAGTAGGGGATATAGTTCAGTTAAGCCTCCTTGAAAATGTGGCTCTGGGACCCTAGACTTCTATTTAGAAATACCCAGTTGTAGACTCACTGGTCCTTGATGGTGCTCAGACCCTGTGGTCTCAATACCACAGCAAGTGGCATTTATAGATGAAAGAACCAAGACAAGCAATAAAATATCACAGGAGCAGAGTAGAAACACATTCCTCCATTCATGCACCAGGGACACAATAGAGAAAAACCCAGCAGTGGCTGCTATGCTGTCACCTACTGTAACAAGATTGATCTGTAGTGAAATAAAAGATAATACAATCCAGAGGAAATAACTTGTGTTTCCTCTGAGAGTGTCTGATATTGTCAACTGCAAGCCTGCTTCCCTCTTCTGCCTGCCACAGTGCACAGCAGCACAAACACACAGGGACTCCTCTCGGCAGACAGGCCTCCTCCCCTGGCTGCCAGAAGCACACATCTCCAAAGCAGCATCTTCCCACCTGCCCAACTCTGTGGCCAAACCAAAGCAAGCAGGTTTTGGATGCCCAGGCACACTGTGGAGGGCAGGACCACTCCGAGCTGCCACCGTCCATAACACGGGCTTCAGAAGACGATCCAGTGGCCTCTGTTCATTTGAAGCCACATACTTTTCTGCTTGGTTACTTCTAGCACACTTCATCACCCCCATGTTTCAGGTTAATGCCACGATTCCACCACAGAGTTTCAAGCACAAAAGATGCTATGGAGATCACTTTTTTAGATTCTGTCCATGAGGCACAGAACATTTTTTCTTTGTCTCCTGTGACTATCACTGGTTGAACACTGTATGGAGCATTATTTTCATAGGCAGAATGGTCAAAAACAAAGGGAAGGAGGGAGTGCCAGCCAGTGAACTCTTAACCATCATTTTTGTTAATGTGTCTCCATAGGAAACGGTCCTATAAGCCATGTAAATAACTCACAAAGGGAAGTTCAGTTCTCTCCATTTGAAAGCCAGTAATACCTTATCAGGGAGCTGCCACCCACCATCACACAGGGCAGTGGGTAGCTCCTGGCTTCAGTCTCTGGCAGATGCTATTAAGTCTCAATAGCCAGTGGTTTGTAGACGATTATAACTTTTGCTCTGCATATCATTGCTACTGACAGGCAAATCCTGTCAATGACTGATGAAAAAAGGAGGCAAATTTGACACAGGCAGTCTGATAAGCCATTTTTATACCATTTACAATACCCAGGAACACTTGCCAGTGTATGTAGAAAAATCACATTTGATACAAGGCTTTTCAAGTCCCTCTTTGCCAGGAGCCTCAGAGCACAAATTCTAGAAAGACTTTTCTAACTCAAACATTTTGTGTTTCAAGGAGAGAAATGTAATTCAGTACTAGGTGGTGTTTGCATTCCAGCGTGTAGAAAAAAAATACTCCTCCCAGAGCAGCTCACTGAACCCCCAATTTATCAAGGAAGAAAACTCACTGCGGCAACAGGCCCTGACAGCAGCACTTTCATTATATGAACAGTCATGGCACCTTTTCAATTTTGCTCATCTCTTAGTCTCTAGCCAAATGGAACTTATTACTTATAGCTTGTTGGGATTTATGAATTATTTATAAAAGTAGGTCTATGACTCCAGACTCTTAAAAGACAACACAACAGAACCCTCATTGTTACCCACAACTGTGCTTCTATCGGAGAGCAGATATTCTCCATAATATGTACTGCATGTTTGGGGTGAAACAACAGTTGGGAAAATACCAAGCCTGTAAGAGTATTTGGAAGCTATTTATGGAATGCCTGGATGTATTTTTAAACTAGTCATTTTTATTCTAAACCAGCCTTGGTTTCCACAAACACACAGCAGATGTTTGCTACAAACACATTTCCTAGCTTGAATACAATCACTGAAGCCCTGCCACTTTTACCCAATGGTTGCAAGTTGAGATGAAAATGGAGTTCCCCCACCCAAAATGTATGTCTAGAAGGCTCCGTGAGGTCATGACCCATGAATCTCCTTCTACTCCCAGAGTAAAGTGGCTCTGCAACCTAAACAGAGGCTAAAACACGGGCCCAAAGTCATGGTGTGGAGTTAAGTTGTGGTTTTCAGCCCCTAGAACACGTGACCTTGGCTGGCAAAACAACCTCACCTTATTCTGATTCTATGGCAAATTCACTTAGGTTGTGAGGCATGGCTGGGCTGCAGGGCACAAAGTGGCCGGCCAGCCATGGTCTTGCCACACCTTCACGTCAGTGACATGTTTGCTCCGCAAAGACACCCACTGACCCCAACACAGGAGCCCTGAGGAACAAGGACCTTGTACCTGAGCCACCTCCAGAGATACGTGCTCCTCGTCATAGGCTCTTCCTCATTCATCCCTGCCCAAACTGCCCAGCCCTCCCCCAACCCAAGCCTGGTTCACAGGAAGAACCAGAGACCAGACAGCAGAGGACCAGGAAAGCTGATGGCACTTTAGGTCGCTATTCTCATAGAGGCCCCTAAAGTCCATGTGACATGTCCACAAAAAAGGCAAAGCCACATAATGTAAAGAACACAGCAATGGAAGAGCAAGTAAAAAAAAGAAAAAGAAAAAGAAGTAGTAAAACTTACCTTGCTGAAAAACATCTGCCAGGAGGGAGAAAAAACAGCGGAGAAGGGAGGGGAGAGAGAGTGGAAAATACTGTTAATAATATTGAAAAGGACAATGTGATAATCAGCTAATATATGCTGACTGCTGAGCATGCTTCACACAGTACCCCTTGAAAGCAGGAGGCAGGGGTTAAGAGTACATGTTATGGAAGAAGACTGCCCAGGTCTAAATCCTAGCTCAACACTGACCAACTCTGTGACCTACAGTTCCCTAAACCACAAAAGAGGTAAGCATATTAACCTTAAATTAACTTTAAATTAACATTCAATGTGTAGCATCACATATTTAAGGGTTTAGATCAGTGTCTAGCGGATAGTTAACACAGAAAATTTGGTGGTTATTATTAACGTTGATATTATTATTTTCACAATCAGCTTGCATAATATACTCTATTATCATTCTTATTTTACAGATGGGGAAATTGAGGCTCCAAAGAGTTAAGTAACTCATCCAAGGCCATAGAGGAGCAAGTGAGGCTCAGGATTCAACCCCAGTCTGTGATTCCAAAATCATCTTCTTTCCCACTACTAAGGTACCTAATTAATTTACAAATAACAACAATGGCACGTAAAAGAATGAACATAAAAAGGCTTATGATATTTAAATCATATAAACATTATGTTTTCACAGTAAATCCTAAGTCAAAGTCTGTTAGAAAGATACAAAATATTAATGTATTTGTTTAAAGAAAGATTTGAAAAGCTGCTCTATGCATTAATATTATAGCATTATATGCTATAAGCATTCTGGCACTAATAAACTACATCTCACAAAAAACCCAAAGTCACTAACATAACTTCTAATAGCATCAATACACTTTGACTATCTTTGAATTTTGTATAAATGGACCGATAAAGCCTGAAGTTTCTTTTCTATTTCTGGTATCTTTGGTTGACAGCAATTATGGAAGCCATTCACACTGTAGCACATAGTAGATCATTCATTCTCACTGTTACAAAGAATTCCACTGTATGATTATACTATAATTTATTTCTCCATTTGAATGTGGTAGTTATTTGGATTATTTCAATGTTAGTAAATTAAGAATTGTGATGGATGTTTTTATACATATCCTGTGGCAAGCTTATGTATACTTGCCAAGTACTTTCCCAGTACTTCTGGACATCTCCAATGTACACGTGAGCCTATCCTGTTAATAGTGCCTCTCAAGCATCCCAAAAGTGTTCTCATCTACTCACGCTTTCTCATTCAATAGCTTCAAGACAGAGAGGACACCAGAACAGACACACACGGCACCACCGAGGCAGGAGCCATTTTCTATTCTGCTGGTGGGGCTGTAAGCTGGTAAAAAGGTCTAAAAGGTAGTTCAACTATATAATACATATAAATACATACATATATATACATATATATATATATGTTGAATATGCATTCTTTGACCCATCAATGCTACTTCTAGGACTTTAATCCAATGAAATATAGTTATAAAAGAAATCTACAAGAATGTTAACCACAGTTTTGTTTTTAATGGCAAAACATTGGATCTTGCCTAAACTGATCATTAACAGAGAATCAAACCAAAACTAATGTATTCCACACAATGGATTATTATGCAGCCATTTAGATGGCTGAAGACAGCAGTTGTTTTTGAATGAAAAATCAAGACAGAAAAATGGAACATATAATTCCGTTCCTGAATTTATGTACCTGTGTCTATGTGTAAGGATACATAAGAAGACATTTGTGACAATGGTCACAGAAATAGTTTATTGTCAGTATGTGAAATTTGGGATATTATCATATATAAGATTTCTGCATTATTCTGATCTTTAATAATGAAGATACCTTACATTTATTACCTGAATTTAAAACTAAAATTATTTCATTTATAAACTAAGTATGAACTGCATTATTGGTGTCTAATTTTCAGTCATCACCAGAAACATCAGTTCCTGCAAGATCCCAATAAGTCAAGGGCCCATGAAGAGAGCAGATGAAACTTCCAACTGGTGGGTTGACAGATGGCAAGCAGAAAACCTGTGGCTGCGGGTGTCATTCCACGTGGACACACATGATCCCCATGAGAAGTGTCATTCACAGCAATACAATGCACCCAAGGACGTATGCAGCGCAGCAGCTGTGGCACAGGTGAAAGACTGCAGGCTCACAGTTCTCAGGGCCTTGGCTAAAACACCACCCTTTCTCCCACACTCAAGAAAGCCAATTAGGATGGAAATGGGCCACATTAGTGCCACTGCAAAGCAACCTGGACTCTGCTTAATTTATGCAGACAGCCCTCTGTATCTCTGAGTTCTGTATCTGCAGATTCTCCTAACTGCAGATTGAAAATTTAAAAAATATTGTGTCTGTCCTGAACATGTGCAAGTCTTTTTTGCTTGTCATTATTCCCTGAGCAATACAGTATAGGAACTATTTGTGTAGCATTTGCATTTGGTAGTATAAGTCATCTAGAGATGATTTAAAGTATACAGGAAGATGTGTGTAGGTAATAACAAATATCATGCCATTTGATATAAGGGACAGGGCATCTGCAGAGGTTGGTATCCACAGGGGACCTGGGAACCAATCACTCTAGGATACAAAGAGCCAACTGTACACACTATACAGTACTCTCTAGCATCAGTGATTCATCATTGGTACAAATTTTGACCCAGCAGTAAGATGTCACTGCTCACAGACCAAGAGGACCATGTGTAGCTCCCTAAATATATCATTTTCGCCTGTGCGTGCTTCTTCGCCCTCACAGTCTGAATCGTCCATCCTCTGACCAGCCTGCACACCTGGAGGAGCCTTCCTACTTTGCATTCAAATGTCACAATCACTGTGAAGTCTGTCCCCACAGAGAGGGAATTCATTGTTTCTGCCTCTGTGCTCCGAGAGTAATTTGTGCATGTTGCAATTATAGCTCATATTATAATTAGTTATTTACGTAGACCGTGAGCTCCCGAGGACAAAAGTAAGGTGTCTTAATCCCATTATTGGGCCCTGACTGCTTGGATGGCTTGGAAACAAAGCGTGGTGGTCTACCACAGCTGTCATCTGCTCCAACCCCCTCATTTGACAGAGGAGGAAACTGAGTCCCAAATAAGTTAGAAATTTTTCCCAAGGTCACACATGGAGTTGAGGCCTGAGCCAAGACTACATGAGACACATTTAACCTTAACGAAGCACAAAAGCTCATCACTATTATTAGCAAAGTACAAATTAGAGATTTATCATTCCTCTCTAATGAATATAGACAAAAATTTCCAACCTGGAAAACATCAGTGAAATAAGATTAGTCTTTCAAATACGGATCCAGTCTCAACATCCATCCAGAGTCCTCAACTTCTTCACCATGGCTTTGGACGAGGAGCACTTCCTTAGAAATTCAGTCCTTATTTGAATCACTGGGAAGTATCAATTGGTAGGGAGGAAGGCAATTCAGACAGATTCAGTGAACTTATTCCTTCCAATTATATTGTGTATTTCACACTTTAATAGGCAGATCTGAATAGACTACTATTCATACCTTCTATTCCCCCAAAACTCTCCTGATTTTCATATAAGCTATTCTGGATTTTTTCAAAACTCTTTCCCAACCTTTTTACACTTTGCACCTTTTTATTCAAATGTAAATTTTCATAAACAGTAGTTTAAATATTGCAACAATTTTGCACATGAGTTGTCTTGTAATTTACACTCTAAATTTATGTCTCTGCGGTCTGTGGTATAAATCATTCCATTCCTAGCATCATTTAACTTTTTGCTCTATATAATAATGGTTCCTGCACCTTCGTTAAAATTTCACTTTTCTAAAGTGAAACAGCTACACAGCTCAGGCTTCAGGACATGGACAGAAGAATGAGAAATAAGTGAGAAGAAAATAGTTTCTGTGCAGTTTGGCTACACTTTAACTTCCTGAAAAATTGTGGAAATCAGAGGCTATTAGCCAGAGAAATATCCTTGTAATATCCTCTATTCTGGAGTTCATGTCTATGACCCACAAGTCCCAAACCATCAGAAATAGTCATTTATAAAAATTAAAAAGCCTTGCAATGGAGTGTGGGACTCCCCTTTCCGTCTAAACAAAGAATGATTTAAGAGTCAACGGGCTGCAGTCCTGGAGCTCGCATTTTCTTGTTGACAACCTAGGCAGGCACATTCTCATACCCACACCATGGTGTTGGGAAGGTTAAGCCAGGTAATTTATACAAACGTTATCCCAAATGCTGCTGCAGAGATTCACTCTGAGAACAAGACAGTGCCATCTCTTCTGCCCTTACAGAAACTGGAACCGTTCTAGTACAGAGCTGGGAGTCGCCAGTGATCACTCCAGCCACAATCAGATTGAGACCGAAGGATGCCAGGGACACTTGCTCAGAGGAAATGAACTCCTTCAGACAGAGCTCTGCTCATACTCACTTCCCAAGGGAGGAAACCTCAACCCCCATCATTCACGTGAACAAAGAAAGCCTGTTACCCAGGCCCCCCCCCAACCCCTGGAGCCCTTCTGGTCCTAGGGAGAGATGAAAGGGCATGTGTAAATTGGTAATTCAGAGGCGGGAAGAAGAAAAGGAAAAAGAAGGAGCTCAGCTTTGCCTTTCTTAGCCCTGATGTCCAATTTCTTCTGTTAGGAATGAGTACTGAGGATACCTACTCCTCCCCTACAGCTACTTAGAGATTCACACCCTAGAGATCTTTAATGCACTGGGTCCTCCAGAGACAGGAGCCATAAAAAGACCAGATTATTTATTATTATTAATAAGTTATGGCAATTAGACTGGATGATTCCTAAACGCTGCTGATTAAAAACTTTCTTGAGTGGTACTCATCCACATGGCTAGTGTTTACCTCGATTAAAAATGATTTAACTACACGCTGGGTGAACCCCTCTCTTATGCCCGGGTTAATAATTAGCAGTGCACAGAGCCACTCGGGTTAAGTGAGTTGGATCTCCTTTATTTATCTATTGCTTTGTTTTATGAGGAGAAGTAGATGACAGTCTTATTGC